GTTGCAGTAGTCTATACGGGACTACTCAATTCAATCAATCACTCAATTACGAAAGCAAAGGCATTAAATCGCGAAGGCAAGATGACAGGAGATTAAAGGCCCTTCTACATTGCCATATAATCCAGAATATCAAGGCAAATATTCCACATTATTTGCTTTGAGCTGAGTCCACACTGCCAGATAATCCAGTTCAAAGCAGATAACACCAGGACTGTGGCGCAACTGTCTGAGTGTCAGCTGCATTAAGATCACTTCTGACCATAAGGTCATGAGTTCGAAGCCAGCCCGGGTCGGAGTGAGCTTCCGACCAATTGTTCAGCTTGTTGTCGACCTTTGCAACCCAAAAGACAGTTGCATCTGTCAAGTAGGAAAATTAGGTACCACCTATGTGTGAGGAGGCTAATTTAACTAATTTATGAGGCCATACAAAAGACTCCAGCAAAGCACTCCATGTGGGGTATGCGGAAGTACTTCATCAGTGTCGCAGATGGATGATGAAAGCGACGGCTCCCCTGGCAGCCTGAAAAGTTAAATAGCCTCTGAATGTTTGCCTATATCTGTTGTGTGTCTTTGGTATTGAATGTTTGCCATATATATGTACATCGTAATCTGCTCTGAGTCCCCCGCGGGGGAGAAAGGCGGAATATAAATACTGTAAATAATTAATTAATTAATTAATAATCTGGATTTTATACAGCTGTGTGGAAGGGGCCCAAGATATTTTACTATTGATATTTTACTCTATTGTTCTGAGGCCTGTACAATGCTCTCATGAACAACTGCTTGCTAAAGCAGTATTTTTGGATGTCAAAATATACAGGAATAATAATAATAATAATAATAATAATAATAATAATAATAATCTATACCCTGCCACCATCTCCCAAAAGGAGACTCGGGGTGTCTTACATGAGGCCAAGTCCAACAGAACATTATAATATGATAAAACCAGAATACAAAACAATCAACACAGTAAATAAAACATGAGAATACAATAAACAGTATAAAATAGTACAATGAGAAATCATTCACAATCACAATGACAATGAGCAGGCTGCATGTACGTATATTTTGATAACAAAGGCTCTGACAAAGACGTTTCTATTTATGAAGTCTTTTTCTACCCAAACAGCCCTGTCTTCTCCTCCCTGTTCTGTCATTAACTTCCATTTGGACCCAAAACAAGCAGCATTTGCTTCCACTCACTTCCGCCTGTATTTCGTGGCTGAGACAATAAGGAGGAGCCTTTGCAAGCAGTCAATAGTTTCGCTGCCCAGGTCATGATTCTGGAGGAGGACGTGGATTCGAGAAATGAATTTCTTCAGTTCATCGTCCTGGATTTCCCTGGTACAACAGAAGAATATACAGGTTAAGACAGCCCAAGGTTTTGTAACAACAGTGTGATGTAGCACCTTAAAAAGCCATTGGGACTTTGGACTACATCAAAAGGTGTCTAGAGTCCAAATCAGACATGGGTGAACTTCGATCCTCCAGGTGTTTTGGACTTCAACTTCCACAATTCCTAGCAGCCGGTAAGCTGTCTGGGGTTTGATGTTGAAGTCCAAAACACCTGGAGAGAGGGCCGAAGTTTGCCCAAGCCTGATCTAGATCAAGGGAAGTCATGGGCCCCTCTATGGTTTGGTTAGACCTCACCTGGAATGCTATGTCCAATTCTGAGGGCCACAATTTAAGGGGGATATGGTCTCTAAACTGGAAGGTGTCCAGAGAAGGGCAACTAAAATGAACAAAGCTCTCGAGACCATGAATAATCCCTATGAGGAGCGTCTTAAAGAACTGGGCATGTTTAGCCTGCAGAAGAGAAAGTGGTGAGGAGACATGAGAGCCATCTTTCACTATTTGAGAGGATGCTATAAGGAAGAGGGAAGGTTTTGAAACCCTGTCAGGGAGATTGAACCTGGGTGTCAAAGGGAGAGGGTGTAAGGAGATTGGAGTGGTGTAGAGGGTTAGTAAGAGAGGACGGAAATTGGTCTGTTGGCTAGCAGAGTTAGCTAGTGAAAAGAATTCTACAGCTATTAGGGAAATAGCTGGTAGAGGAGGGAAGAGATAGATCCAGGATACGACTGTCTGTGCTGGTGTAGAATTACTTTCAGAGAGCAATCCTGTCAGTTTTCCTGAGGAAGGAGAGAGAAGTGTTTCTGTGTAACTACGTATATTCCGGCATATAAGACGACTGGGCGTATAAGACGACCCCCAACTTTTCCAGTTAAAATATAGAGTTAAGACGACTCCCATGCATAAGACTACACCTGCGTATAAGACGACCCCTGACTTTTGCGAAGATTTTCTTGGGTTAAAAAGTAGTCTTATACGCCAGAATATACTGTAAGTCTGAACTGTTTTGAGTAACCACACACTTTTTAAGACAATATTTTGAAACAGCTAAGCTTTATACCTGAATTGTTCCAGTTCTCTCAAATAAACTTCATTGTTTTGTTGTTCACAACAACTGCCTCATGTGTGCCTCTATGGGTGAAGTTTTAAGAGCAGTTTCCTGCAGCAAACAGGAGACTAAAGGTGGAAGCGAAGATTTTAAAGAACAATCTTTAGCGTTACCTCAGAAACACAAGCCTGAGGGCTAAACCCAACATACGCTTGCCTAAGAATACATCCAGTAAGCCAAGGGCCTATCAACGCTTCTAGGTGGGTGGGTGCCAGAGGGCTTTCCAAAAGGGTTTTTCGGCCAGAAGAAAGTTCCAGATTTCTTTACAGCTTTTTGTTTTTGGGCTTGTAAACAGAGAAGCACCATTCAATCACAAGTGGCGTTCAGTTTTGGGATTTTTATTCTCAAATAAACCTCAACCTGTTTATAGCATCCCAGAGTTGGAAGAGACCCGGAGACAGTATTTTCTGTGCAAGGCAGCATTTTTCAATCTATATAAATAAAAATGTAATGTTCGTTTGTGAGATTAACAGAACTCAAAAACCACTGGACGAATCGACGCCAAATTTGGACACAAGACACCTAACAGCCCAATGTATGTCCTTCACTCAAAAATTGATTTTGTCATTTGGGAGTTGTAGTTGCTGGGATTTATAATTCACCTACAATCAGAGAGCATTCTGAACCCCACCAACGATGGAATTGAACCAAACTTTGGCACAGAGTCCTCCCATGACCAACAGAAAATACTGGAAGGGTTTGGTGGGCAGTGTCCTTTGGTTTTGGAGTTGTAGTTCACCTACATCCAGAGATCACTGTGGACTTAAACAATGATGGATCCGGACCAAACTCTACACGAATATTCAATATGCCCAAATGTGAACACTGGTGGAGTTTAGGGAAAATAGAACCTTGACATTTGGGAGTTGTAGTTGCTGGGATTTGTAGTTCACCTACAATCACAGAGCATTCTGAACCCCACCAACGATAGAATTGGGCCACAGAACCCCCATGTGGGCCACAGCAACATGTGGCGAGGGACGGCTAGTTCAGAATATATTACGTAGACTCATACGTTTGGAAGGAGGCCTCAAGAGCCATCGAGTCCAACCCCCTTCTGCCATGCAGGAAGACACAATCAAAGCACTCTTGACAGATAGCCATTTAGTCTCTAGAATCATAAAGTTGGAAGAGACCTGGTGGGCCATCCAGTCCAACCCCATTCAGCCAAGAAGCAGGAAAATCGCATTCAAACCACCCTCGACAGATGGCCATCCAGCCTCTGTTTAAAAGCCTCCAAAGAAGGAGTCTCCACCATACTCTGGGGCAGGGAGTTCCACTGCTGAACATAGAATCATAGAGTTGGAAGAGATCTCATGAGCCATCTAGTCCAACCCAATTCTGCCAAGAAGCAGGAATATTGCATTCAAATCACCCCTGACAGATGGCTATCCGGCCTCTGTTTAAAAGCTTCCAAAGAAGGAGCCTCCACCACACTCCCTCCGGGGCAGAGAGTTCCACTGCTGAACGGCTCTCACAGTCAGGAAGTTCTTCCTCGTGTTCAGATGGAATCTCCTCTCTTGTAGTTTGAATGGAATAATCTGGATTCAAATAAAATAATCTGGATTATCTGTTTTGATAGTCTGGGTTATAATTTGGCATTGTTGAAGGGGCCTTACCTATTTACCAGTAGCTCCTCGAGCTTGCTATAGCCATGTATTTGGGAATGGCAAGTCCCAGAATGCCCCAGCCGGGGATTCTGGGAGTTGTAGTCTCCCAAAAGGCCCAAGAAACAGCCCTTCTTCCTCCTACCTGGCCTGACGCAAGAAGCTCTCGGTCCCCGCCGTGTACATCTTGCTCTCTGAAGGTAACTGGAAGGATGAAGCCAAAAAGGAACTTCAAAGGAACACACAGATCACTTTTTTCTCTGGTCGGCCATTTTGGCCGGCGAGTCACTTCTGCGCACGCGCAACGGTCCGTTCCTAAAAGTTGCCCGGGTTGAAAGTCGGTCCCACGGCATTATAGTTCCGGAAGCGTTTGGGTTGATTGGAGCCTTGAATGGAGCCTTGCTGGACTGTGTGTATATCTATATCTATATCTATATATCTCTGGAATAATCTCCAGAGTGGGAGAAAGAACTCTTGTCTGTTGGAGGCAAGTGTGAATGTTGCCGTTGACCAGCTTGATGAGCACTGAATGGCCTTGCAGCTTCAAAGCCTGGCTGCTCTCTTCAAAACTAGGCAAGTGAGGTTGATAGATCCGTGGAATGATGGCCAGGGTGGGAGAAAGAACTCTTGTCTGCTGGAGGCAAGTGTGAATGTTGCCATTGGCCAGCTTGATGAGCATTGAATGGCCTTGCAGCTTCAAAGCCTGGCTGCTCTCTTCAAAACTAGGCAAGTGAGGTTTATATATCTGTATGATGGCCAGGGTGGGAGAAAGAACTCTTGTCTGTTGGAGGCAAGTGTGAATGTTGCCGTTGGCCAGCTTGATGAGCACTGAATGGCCTTGCAGCTTCAAAGCCTGGCTGCTCTCTTCAAAACTAGGCAAGTGAGGTTGATAGATCCGTGGAATGATGGCCAGGGTGGGAGAAAGAACTCTTGTCTGTTGGAGGCAAGTGTGAATGTTGCCGTTGGCCAGCTTGATGAGCACTGAATGGCCTTGCAGCTTCAAAGCCTGGCTGCTCTCTTCAAAACTAGGCAAGTGAGGTTGATAGATCCGTGGAATGATGGCCAGGGTGGGAGAAAGAACTCTTGTCTGCTGGAGGCAAGTGTGAATGTAGCCGTTGGCCAGCTTGATCAGCACTGAATGGCCTTGCAGCTTCAAAGCCTGGCTGCTCTCTTCGAAACTAGGCAAGTGAGGTTGATAGATCCGTGGAATGATGGCCAGGGTGGGAGAAAGAACTCTTGTCTGCTTGAGGCAAGTGTGAATGTTGCAATTGGCCACTTTGATTCTGAATGGCCTTGCAGCTTCAAAGCCTGGCTGCTTCCTGCATGGGGGGAATCCTTTGAAAAGTGAAAAGAGAGGGGGCCAGGGGACAGTTCCACCTTGTCTCCTGCGCTATGCTAATAATATAATATAATATAATATAATATAATATAATATAATATAATCTTAATCTATTTAAATAAAAATGTAATGTTCGTTTGTGGGATTAACAGAACTCAAAAACCACTGGAAGAATATGACCCTAAATTTGGACACAAGACACCTAACAACCCAATGTATGTCCTTCACTCAATAAAAACATGATTTTGTCATTTGGGAGTTGTCGTTGCCGGGATTTATAGTTCATCTACAATCAAAGAGCATTCTGAACGCCACCAACGATGGAATTGGACCAAACTTGGCACACAGAACTCCCATGACCAACAGAAAATAGTGGAAGGGTTTGGTGGGCAGTGTCCTTTGGTTTTGGAGTTGTCGTTCATCTACATCCAGAGAGCACTGTGGACTCAAGCAATGATGGATCTGGACCAAACTTGGGGCAAACTTCCCACACAGAACCCCCCATGACCAACAGAAAATACTTAGGGCCATCCAGTCCAGCTCCCTTCACCACGGCAAGAAAACGTAATCAAAGCCCTCCTGACAAAGAGCCATAGATAGATATAGATAGATAGATATGATTCACACACAGAGAGATATAGTATCCTAGATTTGAAAGGGATCCCTAAAGTAAGACAATTGTATGTTGCATGTTCCAGAGCAGGCAAACCAGACACTCTCCACATCAACACTGACAAAGAAACAGCAAGAAATACTGTTCACCCACAAGCAGAAAGAAATTACGTATATCAGAAACCAGCACTTTCTCATTACTTTATTTTCCAGATCACCAGACTGCACTACAGCAACCCGTGGCAGGGGATGGCTAGTCTATATAAATAAAAATGTAATGTTCATTTGTGAGATTGGTGTAACTCAAAAACCACTGGACAAATTGACACCAAATTTCGACAGAAGACACCTAACAACCCAATGCATGTCCTTCGCTCATAAAAACACTGAAAAACACAGCAGAAGGGACTTCAAAAGCCAAAAAACTAAAAATACATTACAACACGTGCAAAACCACGTATATAAACAAACACACATATATACACAAATAAACAAATATATACACACACATATAAGCATATATACACACACATATAAGCATATACACACACACAAAACACATATATACAGACTGGGCCACAGCAACACGTGGCAGGGAATGGCTAGTATAATATAATATATTGTACAAAAAATTACTACTAATAATATATTATAATTATATATTTTATATTACATGTACTATTACTAATAGTATTGCAATATAATGGAATAGTACAATATAGTAATATATAATACTCTTTTTTTGTCGTGTCAGGAGCGACCTGAGAAACTGCAAGTCACTTCTGGTATGAGAGAATTGGCCGTCTGCAAGGATGTTGCCCAGGGAACGCCCAGATGATTCGATGTTTTTATCCTCCTTGTGGGAGGCTTCTCTCATGTCCCCGCATGAGGAGCTGGAGCTGATAGAGGGAGCTCATCCGCCTCTCCCCAGATTCAAACCTGCGACCTGTCGGTCTTCAGTCCTGCCAGCACAGGGGTTTAACCCACTGCGCCACCGGGGGCTCCATACTATTGTACCATACTATTAATATGTTATATTGTGTGTGTGTGTGTGTGTGTGTATCTTGTAAGTCGTTCCGAGTCTCCTTCAGGGTGAGAAGGGCAGCATACAAATGTCATAAATAAATAAATTTCTTGGGAGCTGTTAGCTGGCCCTGGTTGTTTCCTGGCTGGAATTTTCCTGTTTTCTGAGTCCTGCTCTTTATTTACTGTCCTGATTTTAGAGTTTTTTAATACTGGTAGCCAGATTTTGTTCATTTTCATGGTTTCTTCCTTTCTGTTGAAATTGTCCACATGTTTGTGGATTTCAATGGCTTCTCTGTGTAGCCTGACATGGTGGTTGTGAGAGTGGTCCAGCATTTCTGTGTTCTCAAATAATATGCTGTGTCCAGGTTTTGACTATGCCTACCAGTATTAAAAAACTCTGCAATCAGGACACTAAATAAAGAGAAACACAAAAAAAAAAAACCCAAGAAAATTCCAGACATGAAACAATCAGGTCCAATTTTTAATATCAGAAGCAACTTGAGAAACTGCAAGTCGCTTCTGGTGTGAGAGAATTGGCTGTCTGCAGAGATGTTGCCCAGGGGATGCCTGGATGTATCACCATCCTGTGGAAGGCTTCTCTCATGTCTCCACATGGGAAGCTGAAGCTGACAGACGGGAGCTTACTCTGTCTTGCCGATTCAAACCGCCAACCTTCAAGTCAGCAGTTCAGCCAGTGCAAGGGTTTAACCCATTGCGCCACTGCAGCTCTTAGGGCCAGCTAACGCATGGATGCCTCCAGGCAGGAAACAGTCATACCTTGCAGCTGCAAAGCTATTCATTGCTAATCAAGGTGGCCAATTGCAACATTCACACTTGCCTCCAACAGACAAGAGTTCTTTCTCCCAGCCTGGACTTCCCACAGATATATAAGTTCTACTTGCCTAGTGCAATAGACAAGAGTTCTTTCTCCTGCCCTGGACATTCCGCAGATATATAAACCCCAATTGCCTAGTTTCCAACAGACCTCACAACCTCTGAGGATGCCTGCCATAGATGTGGGTGAAACATCAGAAGAGAATGCTTCTGGAACATGGCCATACAACCCAGAAAACTCACAGCAACCCAGTGATTCCGGCCATGAAAACCTTCGACAACACATATAATAAAGTGGTTTATTATAACCATGACACAAAATACAAGAAAGCAGCCAGGCTTTGAAGCTACAAGGTCATTAAGTGGTAATCAAGGTGGCCAGTTGCAATATTCACACTTGCCTCCAACAGGCAAGAGTGCAAAGTGCTCTGAATTTTCCAGCAAGGGGCCATCAGGTCCCATGCGTGTTAAGAAATCTCTTTTATGTAGATAAGTGATCCATCTTAAAAAAAAATCAATTAAAACATTTCATTAATTTTTTACATATCCTTCTTTCATATACATAGATTTTTTTGATATTTATTTATCATGTCAGGAGCAAACCAAACAGTTGTATTGCATTTGTAACAAACAAACAAACAAAGAAACAAAACACAAAGTTTGCAAGCTTGGTAGTTGATTAAATGTCCTTTGACCAGTATCTGGCCCCTTGGAGTGCCTCTGGTGTTGCTGCAAGAAGGTCCTCCATGGTGCATGTGGCAGGGCTCAGGTTCCATTGTAGTAGGTGGTCAGTGGTTTGCTCTTCTCCGCACTCACATGTCGTGGATTCCACTTTGTGGCCCCATTTCTTAAGGTTGGCTCTTGTGTTGCTGTTCAGCGCCTTCCAAGTCGCCCAGTCCTCTGTGTGCCCAGGGGGGAGTCTCTCATTTGGTATCAGCCATTGGTTGAGGTTCTGGGTTTGAGCCTGCCACTTTTGGACTCTCGCTTGCTGAGGTGTTCCGGCGAGTGTCTCTGTAGATCTTAGAAAACTATTTCTTGATTTAAGTCGTTGACGTGCTGGCTGATACCCAAACAGGGGATGAGCTGGAGATGTCACTGCCTTGGTCCTTTCACTATTGGCTGCTACTTCCCGGCGGATGTCAGGTGGTGCAATACCAGCTAGACAGTGTAATTTCTCCAGTGGTGTAGGGCGCAGACACCCTGTGATAATGCGGCATGTCTTATTAAGAGCCACATCCACTGTTTTAGCGTGGTGAGATGTGTTCCACACTGGGCATGCGTACTCAGCAGCAGAGTAGCACAGCGCAAGGGCAGATGTCTTCACTGTGTCTGGTTGTGATCCCCAGGTTGTGCCAGTCAGCTTTCGTATGATATTGTTTCTAGCACCCACTTTTTGCTTGATGTTCAGGCAGTGCTTCTTGTAGGTGAGAGCACGGTCCAGAGTGACTCCCA